GTAAAAAAAAATGAACAAGTAATCAGGGATTTGGGGGCAAAAAGAAGTTAGGATTATTTCATGAGTGATTTCAAGTAGAGCTTAAAGGGACATTGTTCTGAAAACAATGCCATTTTGCTCTGTCACCTTTCAGTCCCTTCCTAACGCGAATGGCCCAGCGGTAAGAGAGAAGACAGGCAGTGGGGTGGGCGTAGGAGTGGTGGACTGGGAGATTTCATGGAAGAAATGACAAGGGTTGAGCAGAAGCTTGAGCTGAGATCATATTAGGTTGAATGGGTGAGGGAGGTTGAAGATGAGGAGGAAACAGCTTGAATACAGGTGATAGGGAATTTCTATGATATAGAATTATAATATTATGTATATTATAATATTTCCATGTATGTATACAATATATATGTATATATTTACATTATATATAATATACTTATATTATTTAGTTATTTTCTATATATTCCTAGTTTTGGAGTTTGATTTCCTTTTTTTTTTTTTTTCCTGCAAAAAACTTTATTGTTTACATTGGTTCAATACCTGGGAGTGGTCTTCAGGGTGGTTAAAAAAATGTTTAGGGGTTTCGGGGAGAGGCTCAGGCAAAAGCCAGACACTAGGGGATGCAGATGGGCCCCTCACAGGCCTCTGGGCTCCACAGGCTCCTAGTCGTGCCTGAGGGTGAGCCTGTAGAAGAGACACCCGCCCAGCCCAGCCTGGGGGCCGGCAGCCTGTGGAGGTGAGTCAGGTGTCGCCCATCTTCCTGATGAGTTTCTCCTCCTCACCCAGGAAGTGGTTCTGCAGGAAGTCACAGAGCTGAGGGTCTGTGGGTAGAACCCAGGGCCTGCAGCTCCAGGAGGGCCTGGTTCAGGCTCCTCTCCAAGGCCAGGGCGGCTTCCATACATCCTGAGTTTTGCCCACTCATCTTGGGGAGGCTTCAGCAGGACCTGGGAGAGAATGCGGCCACCGCACTGGTTTTGCATCTTTAAGAGATGCTCAGCACCCTCGCGCTTCTTCGCTGCAAATTCTCGGAGACCCACGCTCTCCATGGCCACATCATCCTGGTTGAATAGAAGCCAAAGAGAGGTAGGTGTGGGAGGCCCACAGGTGAGGGTTGGCCAGGCGGTTGACCGCAGCCTCCAGCTCTGTGGAATCATTCTGATGAATTTGGGAGCTCATGGTTGTTGGGCAATAAGGAGTTGAGGTAGAAAAAGAAACCAGTGTGTTGGCTGGTCCTGGAGATGGTTCCAAAGGTGGTGACTGGATAAGACACTGGAGGGTGGTCGGAGGCTGGAAGAAGGGACGTCCCTGGGTCTGTTCTGTCCACACACAGTTGAAGCAAGAGACAGATCCGGGAGCGCCGAGGGCACTGGCTGATTTCCTTTTTGATTGAGGAATTATTAAGAGTGAACACATTTCTAGGTCAATATTGGCTGTATTACTTATGTTTTGTGACAATGCCTCAGGTTTCCTTTACGGGCTTAGATATGCTCATTTCTGTGTGAACCTTCATTGTGAGTTGCATCCTTTATCATTACAAGATGTCCTCTTCTATGTAATTTGACGCTCTCTGTCCTGAAACCAGCCTGTACTGGTAAGGGGGAGACCCTGCTACTTCAGCCTTCAGGTGTTTGGTGTGCTCCTAAAGTCTCATATTTCAACCTTCCTGAGTCACTCGGTTTGTACACGGCCTTCCGCTGGGTTTTGCTTTGGGAGTGTTTAACGGGGGCATTCCATGGCATTAACATGACACATACGTGTTCTAAATGTTCTTTGTTCTATCCTTATATTTTGTGGCATGCTTTCTGTGTTTATGAATTCTAGTTATTACTTAAAAAAAATCTTTTACATATGATCGGTTTGTGTGTGTTTCTGATCAGTTAGAAGGTGTGTATTTTTGTTTTACATCTATAAGTAACTTCAATGTAATAAATTAATGTTGTTTCTTAGACTCTGCCTAGCGACTCCTTCCTCCCCCTCCCCCTTCTCTTTGCCCAGTAGGGTTTCTGACGGTTTAACTTTGAGTATTCTTACCAAGGGCGCTTTTCTTTCCCAGCAGATGGTGCTAGAGACACGATAGAAAGAGCTTTGTTTATAAAACAAACATCGACCTCATTTGAGTTCAGATTCAGCCCTCTAACCCCTGATCTGTTCTGGGAGAATGAATAGTTGAACTTTTTGGATTTGTAAGGCCAAAGGCCAAATCTTGGCAGTGACACCCCCCCCCCTCCCCCCCGGCTCCAGGTGCTATTGTTTTGTGAAGTCTGGGTGACCAACCATCTCCCAAAGTGACTTTAAAAAAAGGCAACTGTTTCCTTATGAACCAATTAGACTGGGAAAAAGAAGCAGCTGTTCTCATGGGCTCAGCAGATTTTAAGGTTACCCATCCATATGCTAAGTGGAAATTTACGTTATGCTCTCTTCCCTTATATGGTGTTCACAATATTTAGTTCTTCCCTAAAGCTATACTTGTCTCAAAATCTAACCCTTATGACAGCCCTAGACAGTGATTTGTCTAGGTCAGTCAAGATTACTTACTTCTCTTGACTTGGAAAAAAGAAAGTCATGCAGTTTTCATGACATAAGGACCCACCGGCGAATTTCCAGTCTGTCTGCCTGATCTTGAGCAATCTACAAATCAGTATTTATTTTACTTTCCTCTCTGTAAAACGAAGCTGCTATTATTTGTAGGCTTACACGTTACATGGAAATATTCGACCATGTAATGGCAAAGAAGCCCTGATTTTAAAAATGAGAAACTTGGGATAATTCTAAAGTGAGGTTTTGCTAAAATGAAAAGAAAACATGAAAAAAAAGGTTCCAATCTGTCTTTTCCAGCCTCATGCCCTCATACACCCCCCTCATGTGCCTAGTGGTTGGGCACATAGAAAATTTGGAATTTGTTCCCAGATTCACCCTATCTTTGGGCCCTTTCTCATAACCGGAATGTCCGTTCTGTGCCCCCCACACCCACCACACTCTGGCACAGTCCACGGGATCATTTAAGAATATTCTTGCCCTAGCTGGTTTGGCTCAGTGGATAGAGCATCAGTCTGTGGACTGAAGGGTCCCAGGTTCGATTCTGGCCAAGGGCACAGGCCAGGGTTGCGGGCTCGATCCCCCCCAGTAGGGGGCGTGCAGGAGGCAGCCAGTCAATGGTTCTCTCTCATCATTGATGTTTCTCTCTATCCTTCTCCCTTCCTCTCTGAAATCAATAAAAATATATTTAAAAAAGGAATATTCTTCAATGCCATTTCCTCTGTGAAGTACTGCAACCTCCACAGTGAGAACTAACCCTCTTTTCTACTTTGTTCCATCACACTTGAAACATATATTCCCCCAAACATTCATCACATTATGGAATATTTATAGGATTATGTCAAGCTGTTTGTCTAAAACAGTGGTTCTCAACCTTCCTAATGCCGCGACCCTTTAATACAGTTCCTCACGTTGTGGTGACCCTCAATTTCATTGTTACAAATTGAACATAATTAAAGCATAGTGATTGCCCTGATAGGTTTGGCTCAGTGGATAGAGCGTCGGCCTGGGGACTGAAGGGTCCCGGGTTCGATTCCGGTCAAGGGCATGTACCTTGGTGGCGGGCACATCCCCACTGGGGGGCGTGCAGGAGGCAGCTGATCGATGTTTCTCTCTCACCGATGTTTCTGACTCTCTGTCCCTCTCCCATCCTCTCTGTAAAAAATTAATAAAGTATATTTAAAAAAAATAAACCATAGTGATTAATCACAAAAACAATATGTAATGATATATGTGTTTTCCGATGGTCTTAGGCAACCCCTGTGAAAGGGCCATTCGACCCCCAAATGGGTCGCGACCCACAGGTTGAGAACCGCTGGTCTAAAAGGAATGTGAGTTCCTAGAGCGCCAGGGTGGTGCCGTATTTATCTTTGTACCCTCCAGGCAAGAAGCAGACTCTTTCTGGACGGAAAAACTGATGATGACAATGAGAAAACGGGGGTAACTGTGAATGGTGTCGTATCCTGTGACAAAGTCAGAATGAAAGATCTAGAAAGAACCTTAGGAATGACCTCATCTAGTCCCTTCACTTTACCGATGAGGAGGCTGGGATCCAGACAGCTAAAGGGACTTGCCCAGGGTGACACATCCCCACAGTGTCAAAGTCTCCAGGCCCCTTCTCAAGTGCTTTCCACCGCACCCTGGAGTGGCTTGGTTAGAGCCCCTTCCACCCCCCTCCCCCAAGTGTTCTTGGTTTTTCTCACGAATGTGCAGTTCTAACTTTGTGCTTTGATGCTAAGAATAGAAGGAGATGTCAAAATAGCTCTCTCAGCAACGCTGAGTGTCGAGAAAACGCAGCGGAAATGGAGAGGGTGCCCTTGTAGAGGAGTCACATCACTAGACTTTGGTTTTGAAGCCGCCAGGAAGCTGAGGTGTTGGCAGAGAGGAGCAGTTTTCTGAAGAGGACCCTTCTGCAGGTTGGCCGGGTGTGCACTGGAGTCTGACAGCAATGCCTAGCAGATGGTGGGCTCCGGCCTGAAGGTGCGGGTTACAGCTCTGGGGCACAGGCGCCACCTGAGGCCGCATTTCTGACTGTGGGCACCACTACGGACCCAACTGAGGTTACTGTCAGGGATTTAGAGTGAGACCAGTAACTGCCTATTGGCATCGGTGGAGGGTGGGGCAGGGGGACGGGGTGGTATTAGCCAGAGCTGAGTTTTATTAGGAGAATACAAAGAAGAGGGCGGGTGCAAGGGAGCTGAGCACGGACTTCTGACCTAATCTGGGGGGAGTGAGGTCATGAGGAAGTGAGGGCCCGTGAAAAGGTGGTAAGATCAGAGATTATATAGGTACTTGTAGCATCATAATTATTGGAGCTGGCAGACATCTTAAATGGTGATCATGGAAGGCTGCAATTATGACCATAAGAGTGAGTAGCTGAGAAGGGTGGAGGATAAGGTCATTGGAAGAGAGGATGTGAAGAAGCTGAGAAGTCAGGGTATCATCAATATGGATAATGAAATAAGAATTATTATTGCAAGCAACATTCTGTGGCAGATGATCGACACGGTCTGACACAATTTGAGCTTGCTATAGCCACAAAGTTCAACCTATTCCAGTGCTCTCCTCTATGAGACGAGCCGTTATATAGACTTAGGCAGTGTTAAAAAAAAAAAAAAAAAAAAGAATTATGACAAGAGTGGTGTTGGAGTGACATGAGCGAGGAACGAGAATGACTTGGAGTGGGGTCTATGGATGACCTCAGCAAAGAGGCATTAGATCGGCTTTCTATTTGCACTTCTGGCAGAGATAGAATTACCTGTCCTCTGGGAGTAAAGGAGAAACCCACTGCCTCCGTGAAATCCACCTCTTATCTCCATAAGGGATTCTTGCACACATTCTATTATGAGGAATGTGGCCTTTTCCCAATGACTGCTTATGGCAGATGGCATTTTTAAAAGATGGCCACACAGTATATATCCCATCCTACATGCGCTTCTTATGCTGACACCCCTTCCCTGAGGTGTGAAGCCTCCGTTCCCTCCCTTAAACTCAGATGGAACTTTACAATTGCTTCGACCAATAGAATGTGGTGCAGTGATGCTGCGATTTCTGAGGCCGGGTTCCAAAACCAGAATGACTTTGGCCTGGGTCTCTGTCTGTCAGGACCCCAGCTGCCATGTCCTCAGGAAGCTCAAGTCACATCACAAGGCCATGTGTGGGGTGTTCTGGCCGACAGCCCAGCTAAGTCCCCAACCAATAGACAGCACTGACTGCCAGACAGGTGAGTGGACGGGCCTCCTGATGATTCCAGCCCCCGGTTCTGAACTTCCAACAGAGGCCCTTGGCATCATACGCAGAGGAAAGATAATGTGCTGTCTAAATCCCTGACCCAAGAAACAAAGATATTAAATGAAGTGTGAAATAATTTATCAAATAGCAATAGATAACTAGTATACTGCCTTTGGGGGTTAATTACTTCTTGTCACTTACTTGACAAGTCCTGGTGGGAGGTTAACATACCCCTTCCTCCCCCCCCTCCTTTAACATAGAAGTGATTTTAAATAATTCTACCTTAAGGACACTAATCCTTGCAATTACTTTTGGATAGGGAAAAAACAAATACAAATATTTTAGGTTACTCATTTTTTAAAACAATATAGTGTGATACACACACACACACACACACACACACACACACACATGCTAGAGGTCTGGTGCACAAATTTGTGCACGGGTGGGGTCCGGCTGGCCCGCCCCGATCAGGGCCCATTGGACCAGGCTGGTTGGGGGGAAGGACCGCAGGTGGTTGGCCTGCCAGCCCTGCCCCCTGGTCGAACTCCAGTTGAACTCCTGGTTGAGGGGACAATTTGCATATTAGCCTTTTATTATATAGGATATTTTATTGGTTTCAGAGAGGAAGGGAGAGTTAGAAACATCAATGATGAGAGAGAATTATTGACCGGCTGCCTCTTGCATGCCCCCTACTGGGGATCAAGCACACAACCTGGGCATGTGCCCTTGACTGGAATTGAACCTGGGACCCTTCAGTCCACAAGCCTTATGCTCTATCCACTGAGCCAAACCAGTTAGGGCCAGGTTATTCATTTTTGAGCATCTTTTATGTACCAGGCATGAAACTAACCTCAGGGAGTCACAGGGGTGGGCAAACTTTTTGACTCGAGGGCCACAATGGGTTCTTAAACTGGACCGGAGTGCCGGAACAAAAGCATGGATGGAGTGTTTGTGTGAACTAATATAAATTCAAAGTAAACATCATTACATAAAAGGGTACGGTCTTTTTTTTTTTTTTAGTTTTATTCATTTCAAACAGGCCGGATCCAGCCCGCGGGCCGTAGTTTGCCCATGCTGGTCAAAGAGACACACAAAATATAAAAACTTACAGGAGAGTGTGACAAAGGCAATTGCGAGTGGCACTCAGAGGCCTGGGGGAGCAGAGAGAAGCACCCCTAAGGCAGCCTGGGGGCAGGAGCCTACTCTTGAAGGGGAGGCAGGTTGGCTCACTGGACAAGCCACAGGAATGGACTCCTGCCACCTGGGAAGTTGTATTTGGGGCACAGGCAAGGCACATTTATATTACACCTACTCCATGGACTCCCAGCTCCGACTTATTTTTTTGGGCAAAAGACTGAAGAAACAGAATAGAAGGTGAATTAATTCTTGTGGATTCCTGATCAAATAGCTAAGTCGGCGAAATGGTTTTTTTTTGTAACAGCTGAGCACGAACACTTTCTCAGCGTCTGACAGAAAAATCCGCCTGGGGTGAATTTTAATTCAAAGCTTTTAATTTCCCATCATCTGAAAGAGCTTTTATCTCTGCCTGGTGGCCCTCTCGCTGACTCTCTGAGAAGACGAACAGATGGTCACTGCAAGGGTCGCTGCATCTCCACGGTCGCTCGTTTTAGCCCTTCCTTCCTGGCAGGTCCCTTTCTCTCTCATTTTCACACAGCCCAGTCACACCGTCGCTGGGATAACAGCACAGTCCCGCCCCACAGTCCTCAGCACGGCACGTCCTATTTATCGTAACAACTACACATTATTTTGGGAAAAGGGAAAAGAAAAAAAGAGGGGGAGGAAAATCTAGCAAAGACTTCTAGAAAAATTTCTCCAATAATTTTTTCTCCCTTAAAAAGGCAATGTTAAAAAATATTAAGTATATTGTTAAAATTTTTTTCTATGATTTATCCTATATTTTACAAATCTAGGTATGACATATTAGAATTTAGACAGACTTACTAACTGACCTTGGGTAAGTTTGTATGCCTCGGTAAGATCCAATTTCCCCATTTATATAATGGAGTTAATACTGGTATCTACCTAACACAGATACGGTGAGGTTTACTTGAGAGAATGCTATGAAGGAGGTCCTATATCTAAGCTGGCACATTTCTCTCTCTCTCTCTCTCTCTCTCTCTCTCTCTCTCTCTCTCTCTCTCTTTTCCTCTCTTTCTCTCTCTCATACACACACACGCACACACACACAGACACGCACACACACACCCCAGAAATACAGAGCATAAATCATTCATGAAAAAGAAAGGTGCATTCCTGCACCTCTAAGGGACATTGGCATTTTCATTAAAAAGGAATTCAGGTGATTTGTTTTTTGAAGCTTCTTAGTGCTTTTAAAATCTGGAGCAATGAATTTTAAACTGGGGTTTTTGGTTTTTTTTTGAGTCATGGACTTCTTTGAGCATATTATAAAAGTTATGGGTTCTCCAGGAAATGCATACACACATACAGAATGTTCCCAGGCCCTCTGAAGCCCAGCCAATGTGTGCCTGGTTGAGAATCGCCGATCTGCAGGCTGGGGAATATGTTCTGCCTATATTGCTGCTCATCACCAGACGCGTTGCCCTCTCATGACCTGATACTGAAATGTACATTTGCAACGATACAGTCACATAACCTCAGGCATTTGGTGAAGAAATGCAGTCTGGGAGTCTACTGGCAGGCTCTTCCTATTGCAACACAGCAAAGGCTTTGCATAACACATCAAGGTCTCCTGTTTATGATGCCTCCTCCTTCTAGCAGCTCGTACAAAAAGCTGCCATGTGAAAGGCACAGAAGCTTGTCTTAATCTGAGCAAATCAGCAGCTTTCAGAAACTGCAGGAAAATGAAGCATCAGAGAATGTGGAAATTGCCCCTAATGACAGCTCAGAAAATGGGGCTGATTAGGCAAACTGTGCCCCCCTGCGTCGCAGTGGATATCAGGAGTCATGATCACCAATTACTGCCATCAGCCTCCCAGGGCACCCTGCTCGCCTCTTTGGCAGTCAAACTCATTAGAATGGGTTTTAGAGCCAGGCAGGCCTGGGTGGATATAAAGCCTGGCTTTCCTTGCTGTGAAAATTTGTGGAGGTTGCTCAGCCTCTCTGAACCTTGCTTTCCTCATCTGTCAATGGGGATGACAAGAGTGTCTACCTCATGGGATGATGCAAATTAAATCAGATAAGGCATGTCCAGCGCCCTGCCCCGCCTGTAGGAAGTACTCAGCAGTGCAGCTGAGTGTGGACTGGAGCTGAGGGGGATACCAGCACAGACATTGGACTTAGGGAAACTTGGCCCCACCAATCACCTGTGTAACTTTGTGCAGGTTACCCGACCTCTCCACATGTCTATTTCTTCAACTGAGGCATGACTGAAGCATAACACCTACTTCTCACTTATCAAACCGGGATAACAGAGCCCCCACCTCATGAAGTTGTCATGAGGATTAAAACAGTGAATGGAGGGGAAGAGCTTAGCACAGCGATGATGGCGATGGTCATGATGGTGGTGACGAAGGTGATCGCTAGCGATTAGATGGTGCGTGTAGAGCGCTTCACACCCAGTCTGGTTCCAGAGCTTGGGCTCTTCACCATCCTGCTATATTAACTCTCATAAATGCTCAGTCTAATCACTGCAGTGATTACCGACGGGGGAGAGGTGGCTGGGCCCCAGCATGTGTGACAATGAGGATGTGGTTGGCAGCGAGTTCGATGGGAGTCGTGTAGGGTGAAAAGAGGTGGAGACGGTGTGCGGTTACTTTTTTCAGTACAGGCATCACAGGCAGAGAGACGCAGGAGTGGGATCAGAGAAGCACCAGATGGCCAACGCACGGCATAAGAATAGCCGAGGACCTGTGGGTGTGCTGCCTGAAGAAGGAATTACTTGGGGCGACATGATGGCTGCCTTCGAAGGCCTGGAGCCTGCTCCGTAGGGACCCAAGAACTAGCCCAGGTGGGGCTCGGCTTTGAGTAGACAGATTTCAGTTCAGTGTCCGGAAGGCATTTCTGACCTGCTGACCCAGGATGGACTGTGAGCTTCCCACCCCGGAGGTACCCGAGTGCCGGCAGACCCCCCATTTCTGGGATTCAAACACTGGACAGGTGGATGGGGGTTGGAGAAGATAAGATCCTTTCCAGCTGTGACATTCCAGGGCTGAGGGCCATTGGCTCATGTGACAAACAACGAAGCAGGTTGTTGTCTTCAGGGACACATGGTAATACCTGGTTATTTCTCTCCTACCTCTCTCTCTTTACCGTGTTCATGGATTGGTAGAATCAACATCATCAAAATGTCCATACTACCCAAAGCAATCTATAGATTCAATGCAATCCCCATTAAATTACCAACGGCATATTTCACAAATCTAGAA